AGGTACTCTGATTTTTATAAAGCATAAACAAAATCGGTCTTTTCTGGCCGTGAAAATGAGGATGTCACATAAGGTAAGGGTGAAGAACTGTTATCCCCTCCCGAGGATTGATGACCTTTTCGACCAACTTCAGGATGCATCTTGGTTCTCCAAGATTGAATTGTGATCGGGTTATCATTAGATGCGGGTCCGGGATGAGGATGCGAAGAAGACAACTTTCCAGACTCGATATGGTCATTATGAGTTTGTGGTGATGCCTTTTGGGCTCACCAATGCTCCATCCGCGTTCATGGATCTCATGAACCGTGTGTGCAGACCGATGCTGGATCAGTATATGATAGTATTTATTGATGATATCTTGGTTTATTCCAAGACTCAGGAGTAGCATGAGGAACACTTGAGGAAAGTGCTGGAGACATTAAGGAGGGAAAGACTTTTCGTAAAGTTCTCCAAGTGCGAGTTCTGGTTGTGCGATGTTCAGTTTTTGGGGAACGTTGTCAACCAGAAGGGTATTATAGTCAATCCGGCTAAGGTCGAGGCCGTGATGCAGTGGGAGGTTCCGAGGTCTCCATTTGAGATTCAGAGCTTTCTTGGTTTGACTGGTTATTATCGAAGATTCATTCAATATTTATCCAAGATCGCTGTTCCTTTGAACCGAATGACCAAGAAGTCGGTGACATTTTGCTGGGGGCCTGAGCACCAGGACACCTTTGAGACTCTTAGACAACGGTTGTGTGAGGCGCCGATTCTAACCCTGCTAGAGGGTGTTGATGATTTCGTGGTTTATTGTGATGCTTCGATCACAGGTTTGGGGGCAGTGTTGATGCAACGGGGTCGCGTGATTGCTTATGCTTCGAGGTAGCTGAAGCCTCATGGTGTGAACTATCTGATGCATGATTTGGAGTTGGGGGCCGTGGTGTTCTATCATAATCGAAGGAAGCCACCCGACCTACAATACGCTCGCTCTTTCGGTGCTCTTCCTTCATAGCCTCAACCTGTGCCTCACGAATCCGTTCCAACAACGGAGTAATCACGGTCATCCTCAAACATAGGTCTCTGATCAGAGTCGCGACCGCCTTGCGGCTAAGAGCATCAGCCACCACATTGGCCTTCCCCGGGTGGTAAAGGATCTCGCAATCATAATCCTTCACTACATCCAACCATCGACACTCCCATCCAACCATCGACGCTCCCTCATGTTCAGATTCGGCTGATCCATCAAATATCTCAGGCTCTTGTGATCCGGATCTAGGCTAGAACCAAGCACACAAGCCATAAGGGAGACTCCTTCTCTTTTACCTTCACAAAATGGGCTCACACACTTAAAACACACACAAAGAAGCTAAGGTTTGATTTAGCCATCACATCCCTTAAATAGGGGCACAAACCCCAAAAATTAGGGTTTTACGTTTTAGCTACCGCCACATCGTGGCCAATACCTTGCCACATCGTGGCGCACACAAAGATGCGTGTTTCTTAACGGGTGAAGCCACATTGCGGTGCCTTCCCCACTACATCATGGTTACCAAAAACCTCATATTTTAAGTCTTTAACTGCCATAAACACAAATAAGCTATATAACTGGAATTGGTGTTACACTCCACTATGAACCCTCCGTTACGAAAATATAGAATCTTCTTCATATTAGTGTTTTTTGGATTTCTTTGTAGGTTAGGGTGATATGGGGGTGTTGGCATTGGATTTTTCAGATCAACATATATTAGATTAGGGAGAAAATAAAGTTAGCAAGAAACTAGCGAGTTTCGAATCATTATAGATTACAGACAAAAATTAGGGACGGTAGCGACTCAATACATCTTAATACATCTTTTGTTTGATTTGGAAAGTTAGGGACGAAGTTGGCGCTAGATGATGCATTTGTGTTATAACCTTGATCAAACAAATCTCTTTTTGATACGTTTATGTAACATGCAATTATCTCTCTCTCTCTCTCTCTCTCTCTCTCTCTCTCTCTCTCTCTTTCTCTTTCTCTCTCTTTTTTCAGGGTTAATCATGTGAAACAATAATAAGGATGATGAGATTGGTGTCAATTGTTATTGTTGATGATGTTTTATTAAGGCCATACATAATAAAGATGAAAATGAATATGATTTTGCTAGGATAAACTTATCAAATATATTTTTTTCAATCTTATATCAAAGTGTATGTATTTGACCTTTACTTAAATTTCTTTTGTTTATTAGGGTTAATTAAGGTTAGAAAGTATGAAGATGTTGTAGATGATGCTTAGAAGGAGCCTTTGATTTTTGTTAGTTAGTGGATATGAATTTTTTTTCTATTAGAAATGAAGGCGAAAAAAAGAAAATTTATAGGTTGGGAATAAGACTAGGTGTGGTTGGTGGAGACACATGGAAGGGGATGAATATGGAAAAGTCAGGCCACATTGTCAACCATCTTAGGCTAAAGGGAGTAACACATCAGTTTTTTTATGTCATGCCATATTTTTTGAAGCCACATAGGTTGCGAAGAGTGTTAGCATCCAAAGTGTAAAAAGGTAGGGAGTGGTAGTTTGTTAGTTTAATGAGTTTTATTTTAGATTTTTTTTTAAAAAAAGGAAAAACTTGGATCAGCCAATAAAAACACACCATTCATGTTTCTCTCTCCTCTCGTTAAGCCCATAAGAAGCCTTCCTTAGCGAGGCTGATAGCATTTTGATGGGGGTGGTGTTTAGCGCCTCTAGCACTTCCTTGGCGAGGTCATAGCGTGCCCACTCCCATCGGCCTTAGAAAGAAAAATCTTAGTTAGCATGAGATAATGATTAGTAACTTAGAAATCTATATGTTTGTCAAAAATAAAAAAAGAACCACTTAGATGTTTTGTTGGAAATAAAGTATTAAAGATGTTTTTAATGGAAAGATAAAATAAATTACAATGGTTTGTCATTTTCCCATTAAGTTTGATTATATAATGTTTCAGTAAATATTGTCATTTTGTAACACTACATTATGAAAATTCTATAAATTACGTACTATACTTTCAAACTAGTTTTGAGACCCATGTATTACATGAATTAATTTAAAAAAATCATTTAAATGTCAAAATATTTAAGAATTTTGAATTTATAAGAAAATAAGAAAAATAATAAATTATTATAATGAAAATATTTTTTATCTTTTACATTTAAACAAATAATTTAAATAAATAAACAAAAGAAATTATGAGCTTTAATTTTGGGAATTTTGAAATTAAAAGGAAATTGATTAATAAAAATTGATATTCATTTATTACTATATTTATTGCAATTATTACATTAAAATATTATATAAAATTTAATAAAATAGAAAAACTTATAAAATGACATGTGGAAAAAAAATTAATTCAAAGTAATCACAAAATGATATTTGGCAAATTAAATGAGAATGTAACAAGTAACAAAAAAAACTTTCATTTATTAGAATAGATTCTTTTTCTATAAGGTTTTACTTCTAAAAATATACCATAATAAAAATGAAAATTATATTTTATAAAAAAAATAATAATAATGTGATTAATAAATATATGAAAAATACAGTAGGGGAAGTCTATGTGCAAATGGGCCAGCGGATTCAATCCGGAAACCTAAAATGGCTTCTCAGCTAATCACATGGAGCTGGTTCACCACCCCCAAACAACGTAAAACCCTCCATCGCCACTAAATCCAACAACGTAAAACCCTTAACCACCGCTAAATCCACCTCCTCCACCATCTACCACCACCATCATCTTCACATGATCAAATTCGGAATGCAATTAATTCATTCTGATAAATTATCCTCTCGACCTACCCCTATATCTGTTATAAACGAACCGAGGTACGTTTGATCCCTCATTCTCTCTGTTTATACATTCATTCTTGCACCTGGGGTGGGTTTGAGTTTCGATTCAACCACTTAAAAGACCGCAGATTTTGCTCCTATGGGTATGATTCCGATTTGAGATTCGAAAATATGCTCTCTCTGCGCCTAGGTCGCAGATTTAGAACATACACCACCATTCCAGCCTCCATTACCTCGACTTCTAAAACTAAAACTACCTTGACTGCAAAGGATATCAAGAAACCCTTAACGTTAGAGGAACCTGCCCTAATTAAGCTCAAGGCAGAAAGAGACCCCGAAAAATTATTTCATTTGTTCAAGGCTAATGCCAATAATCGCCTTGTTATAGAAAATCTGGTTGCATTTGAAGACACAGTTTCCAGGCTAGCAGGCGCTGGGAGGTTTGATTACATCGAGCAATTACTTGAGCATCAAAAGGCACTTCCTCAAGGCAGACGCGAAGGGTTCATAATGAGGATTATCATGTTATATGGAAAGGCTGGAATGGTTAATCATGCCATCGATACTTTCAAAGGTATGCATTTATATGGTTGTGATCGCACTGTTAAATCCCTCAATGCTGCTCTTAAGGTTTTGTCACATTCACGGGATTTAGATGCATTTGAGTCGTTTCTTGGCTATGTTCGTTGCCAGTTTGATGTTAAGCTTGATATTATCTCCATGAATATTATAATAGATGCTCTTTGTCGAATGGGTATCCCTGATAAAGCTTACATGGTGATGGGAGAGATGGAAAAATCAGGGATCACACCTGATGTGATCACATACACTACTCTTATTTCATCTTTCTATAAACTGAATCGAGCAGAAATAGGAAATGGGCTTTGGAATCTTATGGTGATGAGAGGCTGTTTACCAAATTTAGCAACTTTTAATGCTAGGGTTCAGTTCTTGGTGCATAAAGGACGCTCATGGCAGGCTAATAGTTTAATGGGTATGATGCGTTACCTTGGAATTTCCCCTGATGAGGTTACATTTAACTTGGTGATAAAAGGGTTTTGTAGAGCTGGTTATATTGATATGGCTAAAAGAGTTTATTCTGCTTTACATGATGAGGGATACAAGCCAAATGCAAGAATATATCAAACAATGATGCATTATCTATGTAAAGAAGGCGAATTTGACATGGCATATACAATGTGCAAAAATAGTATGGAAAAGAATTGGTTTCCAAGCATCATTAGTATATGTCAACTACTTCAAGGGCTTCAGGCTACAGGGAAGATTGAAAAAGCTAGGTTTATTTTATCTTTGGTGCATAAAAAAGTACCTTCATTTAGCTCAAATCAAATGGGTATCATGGAATCGGTTTTTAAAAAGAGTTGACACTGTTCTAGGAGGAACCTTTGTACAGTTTTTTAATTCTGGTTTTGAGAACAGTTAGTTAATCAAGATTCATTTACAATGGATAATTATCCAGAAAAAAAAAAGATATAGTCTAATATGTTAGGTAAATTTGTTGTACCATCTTTGATTCTTGAATAAGATTTTTGATGGAGATTTATTTGACAATACCCAACTGGAGTTCTTCTGTTCTTGAACATTTTGTTCTTTTCTAACCTAACTTTATCAATCCCTTATAATTTACATTTAATGCAATGGGATACTAAAATTTTGTCTTGTAGAAAACAGTTAAAGATTGGATGCTTCTATTGGTAACATAATGTTTGAATAGAGAAAAGGAGAGAATTGAGAAGAAGAAACTGCATATGAACTTGCTATAATTATCCAGTATAACTTTTAACATTTTGTTTTCTTTTCAGCATAGTTGATTTTCTCAATTATCATTGATTATGATGATGTTCATTCAGATAATAAGTTATGGATGAAAGAGGAAAGGATGTTGGGGAAGCACAAGGACACGTGGCATCAAGACAGGAGGATCATATATAAGTATTTTACAGGTTTGAACCATGAATTTCCACTTTCAACATTCATTCATTTTATGTAATCTTAGGGTTTGAAGTTACAAATGATTGTAGAAGAGGGAAACACTGGAAACTGAAGAACTGACAAATGGGGATGATTTTTGAAAAAAAGACTCCTTAGTTACAATATAAAGTGAGAGGTTAGAGACTAGAAAGAAACAAAATAGACCACTTTACCCTCATGCGACATTCATATGACATGGCAGGGGTTAACACCCCCTCTAAAATGAAATCCAGCTGGTTGACTTTATTCTTGTCCTAAATTTGAAATAAAGTACCTAGTAATTTGAATGTTCATGATATCATCATATGACACTATATCTAGGTTTGTATTTCGGTGATATAAAACATTTTATGTAGGTTTATTCATCTAAAGCTCATATATAGTTTTAGAACAAAGAAAATAAAGCGCGCACACACATACTCGTTGAAAATCTATTTGGATTCTTTATTTGGATATGTGAGATACTGAAGCGGTGTTTCCTTGTTCTGGGATCCTTTATCTTTGTTTTAAATCATTAGGTTTAGACATTACTTTAGTGCTTCTTAATCCTTTCAAAATGGTAGCAACATAACCTTTTTGTGATTTCTTTCTAGAATCATACTGACGGTTGATTATACACAGTGGATCGAAAAAGTTTTATTGTTCCAACATTTTTTTTTTGAATTGAAATCGGATCCTTTCAATTTTTATATCGACATCGTAGATATACTTACAAAGTCGTTCCAATCATTATAATTCATTCTTAAATACACAATACAACCATTGATAGAATGTGATAAAATCATCAAACCTAAAGTGTAATTACACATTATAGAGCCAAGTAATACCAATAACCAAGTCAGAATTCTCTTTGTGTTCTTTAAGAATTTGAACATCAAATTCTCTTTCAGACTTTCAAAAACACATAAAATTTAATTTGAACAAATATCCATTCTTTAATTTATAGGCTATAACATGTATAAGAGAGGAGGGAGACCATAAATAATCAATGACTACTTCCATTCTTTCAAAAGTGGTCAAACATTTAATTTGAACAAATATCCATTCTTTAATTTATAGGCTATAACATGTAAAAGAGAGGAGGGAGTCCATAAATAATCAATGACTCCTTCCATTCTTTCAAAAGTGGTCAAACGTGGGTTGAGTGGGTAAATGGTTGGAATGTATTGGTAATGATTCATGAACCCATTTTTTTTTAGTTGGTTGTACATCATGCTTTAAAATTGTGTTTATATGTTTTTAATTAGTTTTGTATGTTTTTAATGTTTTTGTTAATTAATTTTGAATGATTTAACTAAAAATTTAGTGGGTTGGAAAAGATAAGTTTCCATATGTTTTGGGTTGGAAAAGATGAAAAATATGAGAGAGAAAAACTGATATGACAGTGAGTTGACTGAGTTGGGAGTGAATGATTTCCTCCACCCTTAGGCTTGAGGGAGTGGACTCGCCGCCCCTCTCGCCAAACAAGGTGCTAACATATCAAACACCACCCCTTTGGATTTGCCAAGGGAGGTGTTAAGAATTGGTCGCCAAGCAAATAGCGAGAGGAAAGAAAAGAGAAAAGATGTATTGGTTGATTATGATTGGTTTATAGCTATTGTTTCTTTTTTTCTCTTTTTTTTTTCCTTCAAAATAATCCCTATTAATTTAACACACCACCACTCCCTATGAGATGCTAAGAGTTAATTGCTAAGAAAGAAAAATGATGTGACACTCAAAAAAATGATGTGACAAGGTGTTAAGAGTGTTACCACTCATTTTAGCCTTACAAACTATTGGCATGGGTTGTTATTTTAAGTATTTACAATGCTCAAATATAAAGAAACCAAGAAAATTTAATTTGAACAAATATCCATTCTTTAATTTATAGGCATGTATAATACAAATTATTGGCACCGGTTGGTATTTTAAGTATTTAAAAGGTATGTAAAGACATTGATACTGACTTTGACAACCATAATGGCCAACATGATCATCGAATTCGTCAACTTTTTTAAACTACTATAAAAATAACTACAAAGAAAACCACAAATTCTTATTAGCACCTCTAAAATCATAGTGCAACTTTGGAGATGAAATCTTTTATCATAAGCAAAATTTTTGGAACAGGTAACATATGACCCTGACATGAGAAAAACTATTGAATTTTTACAATAAAGAAATTAGGAGACCTGATAAATTGGAGATGACAGCTTTGATAGTGCAATTTTAGAGATAAAAGCATTGTCAATGCACTTTTTGGAATGGAAGCTTAGACTTTGCAATTTTTGAGACGAATGCAATTATGCAAATAAACATCAAACTTCAAATCTATTTGTGCAAGT